CACTGGGCAGGAGTGGGGCAGTGCCCATGCCCAACACAGGGCAGAAGTTGGGGTACTTACCATGCCCAACACAGGGCAGGAATGGGGGCAGTGCCCATCCCCAACACAGGGCAGGAGTGGGACAGTGCCCATGCCCAACACAGGGGCAGGAGTGGGACAGTACCCATGCCCAACACAGGGGCAGGAGTGGGACAGTGCCCATGCCCAACACAGGGCAGGAGTGGGACAGTGCCCATGCCCAACACAGGGCAGGAGTGGGACAGTGCCCATGCCCAACACAGGGGCAGGAGTGGGACAGTACCCATGCCCAACACAGGGGCAGGAGTGGGACAGTGCCCATGCCCAACACAGGGGCAGGAGTGGGACAGTGCCCATGCCCAACACAGGGGCAGGAGTGGGACAGTGCCCATGCCCAACACAGGGGCAGGAGTGGGACAGTGCCCATGCCCAACACAGGGGCAGGAGTGGGACAGTGCCCATGCCCAACACAGGGGCAGGAGTGGGACAGTGCCCATGCCCAACACAGGGGCAGGAGTGGGACAGTGCCCATGCCCAACACAGGGGCAGGAGTGGGACAGTGCCCATGCCCAACACAGGGCAGGAGTGGGACAGTACCCATGCCCAACACAGGGGCAGGAGTGGGACAGTGCCCATGCCCAACACAGGGGCAGGAGTGGGACAGTACCCATGCCCAACACAGGGGCAGGAGTGGGACAGTGCCCATACCCAACACAGGGGCAGAAGTGGGACAGTGCCCATGCCCAACACAGGGCAGGAGTGGGGGCACTTACCATGCCCAACACAGGGCAGGAGTGGGAGAGTGCCCATGCCCAACACAGGACCAGGAGTGGGGCAGTGCCCATGCCCAACACAGGGGCAGGAGTGGGACAGTGCCCATGCCCAACACAGGGGCAGGAGTGGGGCAGTACCCATGCCCAACAGACAATCAACACATCAGACTATAACTCACCTGAAGACCAATTACCCACGCACGGGTCGTTCGACCAGGCAGTAGTGGCATAAACTCTTAACGATACTTTATTTGCTAATTCGATCATTTAGGCTGAGACAGCCGACTTGAGACTTATGTAAGTAATACTTCACTCTGTAAATGGAGTCGTTGAAGCCAGGACTTCAGGTACTCTAAATAGATCATAGAGTCGTTCTTGGTGATTGTTAAGTGGTTGTTGAACCATTTGGCTGCCTCCTGAATATTTCTTACTTACTAGGAATAATATTGGACCGAATTACCAACAGTTAAGACGTTCGTAATCTCTGGAGATTACTAATTGATCGTCGAAACTACTAGGTAGAAATATTTCATTCTCAGCTGCTCGTTAGGACTAGTAAGTAGTCCCACGGTTACTACCGAGTAGATAGTAAACTAGCGAGTAGATTATAAGCCTTGTTAACTGCGCAAGGCTTCTGGAACACTTAAAGAGTCATGAGCGTGATAGCGGACTATGGGAACTGGATTTATTGTACCTGCACAGTACTTATAAAGTACTCCATCACACATTAGCATCGAGGAACACAGTTGGATTGTTTCAAGCGAAGGTTAGACATATATATACGAGTGAGTTTAAGGTGGACAAAAATAGGAGCTGCCTCGTATGGGCCAATAGGCCTTCTGCAGTTTCTGTTATTCGCATGTATTTAATATTTGATTTTGTAAGGGTACCTTGCCTTTTGGCAATGACTTAGCTCTCTCTTAGTGATGGGATGGGCAGCCTGTACCCTGTAACATCACTGTACCAGGCAAATGATGGGGTAGGTGACCTACATTCTGTAACATCACTGTACCAGGCAAATGATGGGGTAGGTGACCTACATTCTGTAACATCACTGTACCAGGCAAATGATGGGGTAGGTGACCTATATTCTGTAACATCACTGTACCGGGCCCTGAATGGCCAGCCTGTACCCCACAGCACATCCATACGAGCCAGCAAAGATGTGCTACATGGAATAAGAAACTGCTATCAGTAACGGATGCTCTAGACTCTGTAACTCACTGTAACTAACTGTAATGTCAACTAGTAATTGCTCTCTGTGTTCCCTCCTTCATTAGTTAGCTCAAGTAGCTACTGCAGACTTCCGAATGGTTCAAAAACACCGCTGAAGGCACCCCAGGATTGCCCCGAGGGCAGTTAAGTCGTTAGGAAGGTAATTATAGGGAGCCCCGAGGCGGCCAGTCACTCCCAACTGTAGTGGCAGTTAATGATAATAAAAAAATAGTAATTTGACTATGTAGCTCGTTCATTCATCCTCCCTGTTTTGTTGTTGTTTTTGTTAGTGGTGGTGGAGGGTGTCTGGTGTGTTTGTTGGTGGTGGTGGAGGGTGTCTGGTGTGTTTGTTGGTGGTGGTGGTGGTGGTGGTGGTGGAGGGTGTCTGGTGTGTTTGTTGGTGGTGGTGGTGGTGGAGGGTGTCTGGTGTGTTTGTTGGTGGTGGTGGTGGAGGGTGTCTGGTGTGTTTGTTGGTGGTGGTGGTGGTGGTGGTGGTGGAGGGTGTCTGGTGTGTTTGTTGGTGGTGGTGGTGGTGGAGG